TCCCCCCCCCCCCCCCCCCCAACTTCAATTGAGCTCAGCCATATCTATATGCACTGATCAACCGTTTGATATGAATGTATCGTATCATAACAAGATTCGAGCGATAGCCCGGAACCAAGATATAAAACGACTTTCTTAACGCTTGCCTTTGCCCTTCTGGGTCATCCTCCGGAAAGCCTCGTGACCGCTGTGACCAATGGGGCGATGATCGGTCGGCGCCTGGCCTGGGATATATGTGCTCTTGGGAGCAATGGTGTAGCTTGCGGGGAGACCGACGGGCCTGGCGCGGTTGTTGTTGCGTACTTCGGGAGCGAGGGCGCGCTCGCGCTCGATTTCGTAGCGGGACTTGCCGGCGGGACGCTGGGTCAGGGTCACTTGGGAGCTGCCGCCTTCGCGTTGGCCTAGCTTCACAGCACTAGTGAAGGAAGCAGGGTTAGCATGGTTGGCTGTTAAGAGGAAGATGGATAAAAGAAACATACCCGACATCAATTTCACGCATCTCAATGTGACGTTTCTTGTAGTCGTCAGTCCTCTTCAGGATCAAGCGACTCCACTCGCCCAGCAACCGCTCCGCATCACGTTTGATGTCCGCGCTGGGGCTCTTGCTCTTGTTGTAGTAAACGACGACCTTGCCAATGCCGCTGCTTAAAAGCACATCTTTGTTGGTGGGAAGCTTCATGAGCGCGCTCATAATGGCACGCTGAATGTTGTACGCAGGTAGACTTCCATCGTTCAGAGGTTCCAGAAAATATCTGACAGACTGGAGGAAGTTGATTTCGGGATCGAGTACGGAGTCCTGGATTGCGGTCCGGTTTAGAATCGCGGTAACTTGAGGTAGGAGCTTGAGCTTGTGCACGGCCGGCTGTTTTTGTTCGCGGGCTTCGTTGTCGGCTACGCAGGCCTTCTCCATGGCAACCTTGAGGTTGGCAATCTGTTCATCCGTCTCCTCTTCGAGGTCCTGTTCAAATGTCGGTCAACATGCGTGTATGACAAAGCTTGCACGTGGCATTGGGAGACTCCTTACGATATCGTCCTTCTTTCGCCTGCGCTTGGTAGGGTTCTTGACAGCAGCGTCAATAGCGCGTTCCAAAGCGCGCCGTCTGCGCTCATCTGGGGTGAGGTTCTCTTCCTGTTGTGCTTCCTGCTCCTCTACCTCCTTCCTAGCACGCCGCTCGCCCTCGGCGCGGACCTTGCGTGGTCGGCGCTCACCGTCGTCATCCGCAGCGTCAACGTCATCGTCACCACGCGACCGCTTCTTGGGCCTCCGTCCTTCTTTTGGCTTCTTTGTCGTCTCTGTAGTCGTCTTTCTCCGCGCCTTCAGCTTCATGGCCACATTTTCGTCAATGTCAACGGGCCGGGAGCCGTAATCATCGCCAAACTCATTTTCGTCGATTTCGGACAGAACATCGGAATCCTTATCGTTGCCTCCATCGTTATCCTCGTCATTTCCTCCGTGGTTGCTTCCGTCGTCCTGGGGTGTCTCGTTGACCTGGTCCTCATCGCGATGCTCAGTGGGTTCGGCAGCAGGGGAACCCGCCGGAGAAGCGGCGTCCGACATGGCTGTCGCTGAATGGGTGTTGATATGCTGATGCACGCAGGATAGCTCGTTGGGATAGTTCAAGAGTGGACTTTCTTCCAGACGCAGAATCTATCGGCGGAAATGAAGACGACGCAATGGTTGAGATTTCTTCGGTGTTTTGAGTGGCGGTTTGGTTGTTTTGCGTAAAAGACAATAATAGTTCAAGTCGGTTCAATTCTCCAATCCATCCCCAAACGAGGTGACGGGCTGGCCGCTTGGTCTGTGCGCTGTTTAGCCACGAGCAAATCTACCGCGCCGGGTGTTGCTGCTGCGTCAGTGCAGTGATAGTTTGCACGGGGTGGCTTTACACGCTGTGGGGTGTCCCTACTACTTGAAGACACTCCAGGCACGCAGCAGAGCTCGCTTATCTGGGTAGGCGTAGAAGACAGACAGTCACGACCAGGGCCAAATTATTTGGAACCGAATTCCATGTGTTTACTTTGGCGCGCCGTTGCCACCGACAACCGAACTTTTTGTCCTGGGTAACTTCCGCGGTATCCCTGACCTCTGGAAGCTTTGTCCCCAAAGAAAAAAAACGAAGGGAGGACCATTTGACGTCGTCCCGCCCTCCTCTACTCTCAACCATAAGACTGTCCATCCACCCATCAACTCCCAAGACAAATGTGAACTTCCTAACGCACCAACATCGACGCGCACGTCGACCGCCCCGTCATCATGGATCGCCGAGGAAACGAATCGCCAATGGAATGGGAATTTGATAACAAACCGCCCGTGGATCACACAAGCCCCTTTGCTTCTTTACTGTCAAAGCAACCACCACTATGTAGGTCGCACTGCCAACGCCTCTTCTTGAAATTGACTCTGCGGTGGCACAATTTCGGTTTCGTCTCCAATGCTATGTTCTAGTAGCTTCTTGCTGACAGGACGGCATTGCGCCAACAGCTTCGTTCAGTTCACAGCCATCAAAGACCAGCAACCCCACGTTCGGAGCCACCTCAGCTGCCCCCCAAAGCAACATTGTCAACGAACACCGCGATACCCTGAAACCTCCTAATACATCCTTCAATCCCCAACTACACAATAAGCCAACGGCGCCCCAGTTCCGAAACCCCGCCTTTACGACACCTCAGAGGCGAACCGATGAGCAGACGCTAGAGTCGCCCTCAGAGGCGAGTCCCGCCATGACGGACATCTCTGAAATGCCACCCGACACGCCAGAGACCATGTTCGATGACAGTTTCAGAATTCCAGCTACGGCTTATACACCACTACAAGCAGGCAAGGCCATGTTCAGCAGGCAATATTTCCAAAATGGGCGTCCTCGACAAGTAAGGAAGCGGAAACGCCAGCGCGGCGACCGAGACGTTGGAAGCGTACGATCTCGCCTCGACCATGCATCCGACGGATCTGATAGTGACTGGGAGGAGGGCGTACGGCCTGGAAGGAGGCGGTCATCGACAGACAAGAATGCCAGTTCTGGCTGGCTTACCAGCTTTCTCGACACCGTCAGCAAATACCCTGCTGCTCCGGCGGTGCTCTCGAGATGGCTACAGTTCGTCATCAACACGTTCTTGATCGGCGTTATTCTGTTCGCAGTCTTCAGTTGTGTGATGGCTGTACGCAACGATCTTTCGCGTGCCGCTGACAGGGCTCGGTCAAATCTGATGCACGAAATATCACAATGTACAAGCAATTACCATAAAAACTTGTGCGCTCCCAAGTTGAATCGGGCACCGGCTTTGGAGTTGCCCTGTAACGAATGGGAAGCGTGCATGAATCAGGACCCGTCGACTGTGATGATGACCCAGATCTCGGCAAGGAATATGGCTGAGATATTGAACGAATTCTTTACTATCATATCCTACAAAACCTGGGTAAGTTGGAGATTCGCGCACATTACCATGAATGAGCCCATTGCTAACTTGTACAAAGGGTTTCATCCTATCAGCATTCCTGGTCGCTATCATTGGTACCAATATAGGATTCGGCTCCCTACGTGACTCCGGAGCTTTCAAACCATCTTCTCCCCGGAAACGTGCAGAACCGGCACCAGTAGCAGCGCCGCCGCCGACTCCTCTCCATCCAATCTTCAGCACCCCGGCGTTTCACAATCCACAGCAGGCGTACATCTTTGCGCCCATCGAAACCCCGAGACGAGCTCGTCAGCAATTTTTTGACGAGGCGACCGACACTGATAATTCCCCCGATGTGAGGATGATGCTGCCTCCGCGAACCCCCCGAAGAAGTCCAAGCAAAGGAGAGAGAAGAAGGGGCTAGGGGTCGTGTTTACGGTTAGAGGGTTGTTGGATGCTGGACTCTTAGGAATACATGTCACCATTAGGTTAATTTTAGGCTAGCAGGACAATACTGCCATGTTGGATCCCCCGCTGCCGTATAACACCAGTCCTTATTGGGTACGTATCTCTTGAAGGGTTGGGCATCGATTGTTTTCGGGTGCTTCGGTATACCAGAATGTGTAGGGGCGGCTTGAACTTGAACTTGATATATACACTACATGTGTCTCCATACGTGCCACAACCGATGAGGGATTAAGGTTGCACCAACCCCACACTTTAACTCGCGAAACGTGTAGATCTCCGATCGGCAACGACCAAGCTGATATGTCATGCATTCGACTGGCATGTTCCTGGCACGTGTATGTCCTTTTGGTTTTTTTCCTCCTTTTTTTTTTCCCTTGATTTAATAGGTGCTATGGTAGAAGTGTATGTTCACTGTACGAATGTTGACTCAGAAACAACCGTTGAGAATAACAGTAAATCAAACTATTGCTCAGCAACATGAAACACTGTTAAATGTAAAAAAAAAAAAAAAAAAAAAAAAAAAAAAAAAAAAAAAAAAAAAAAAAAAAAAAAACTCAGCGAATCGTGTATAGTTCACGAATAAACGACTCTCCAGGCTCAGTTGTATGATAGAATACGATGTGCGAAGAATGTCTACTTTCACGATAATTGGTGATGAAAGTGTTCCGATGAGTTCTGGTCCTCTAGTGTAAACAGACCCTCTTACCTGACGCACTCCAATACCTGAGACTGGATTTTGTCCTTCCCCTACTCCGACTGCGGCGCGACGTCAGTGGAGATATTCCAGGGTCCATCCACCACAGATTTCGGAAGCCGAACGGACACATGCAAATGCGGGCTTCAAAATGGATACTTCCACTTGCTCGGTGAGATATTAGATGAACACAGCTATATACGTACAATAGCTGGTGCCTCTGACGGCAAGACACCCGATGGTTGCCAGATTCGCTCCATATGTTCCTTGGAGGCCAGTCAATCGAAAAGGACAAATTTAAGCTTAGCCAGTAACTATCAGCTATGGGATTTCAAAGCGCCTATGGCAGCCCTAACTCCCAGATGATCTGCATAATATGTACACATATTGTCGTGAACTGCTATCAGAAGGACTCCAACCCTCCGTCTCAAGCTTCTTGGCTGAGAGATCTCAATTCGCACTTCCTGCCCGTTTCCTGTCCTGTTGATATCTCTTGAAAATCACGGACAGGAGACAAGCGAGCCTGAGAGAGAAAAAAAAAAAAAAAAAAAAAAAAAAGGTACGTGGATCACGCTCCAAGCTGAGCTTACGCGGGTAACATCTACACTACAGACGGGATCGCGGGTAAAGACATGGGATGTCTAGTGTATACGGTAATCCTGGGGTTCAGTGTGGTGGGGGTGGGCTCGTAGGGTGAAGCTCGGGGCAATTCGGACATTTGCAGGAGCCGAGATCGCAAAACATGATCTCAAACCTGGCAACTTGGCTCGAGCCTGACTTCATCTGCTTCCACCTTGCCGTCGTGGGTTGAGGTTTGGTTGGTGTCCCACATTGTGGACCGTTAGTGGATAAGGCCGTCATCCCGTCATCAAATTTGATTGGATCCATGTCGTCCCCCCAATTCCGCTCTCTTGACTCTCCAACTTCTTTTTTCCCCATTCCGGGAGGGGACTTGCAAGACACTCGGCCGCCACGCCGTCCCCGATCTCATCAGTTGCACCCCTCAGCTAAGCGCCCACCATCTTGCCGCGGAGCCTGGCTATTTAGTACTAGCACCAGCGATCTGGGAACAGCATCGCGACACCGCGAGATGAGGTGCGCAGGCTCGGCCAATTCTCACCACATGGGATATTACCATTGCCGATTCGTGATTCGCGGTAGAAAAGGTATGGAGAAGTTAGCTCATGTCTAGTTTCGTCACCACTACAACCGTCTTTTCCTCTGATCCCAACCGAAGCTCGAGATACTATAACTCTTACCCTTTCTGGAAAAATACATCCGAGCGCGTTCGCGTCCGTTTTACTCTCTCTCTCTCTCTCTCGCGCGCGCAAGCTCTTAACCATCGCAACTCGAGCTCCGGTTCTTATCCTATGTGCTACTTGCTCGTCCAATTCCTCGATCGCCGATGCATACAGATTCCCGTCTTTAGTCTCCACCCATCGAAAGGCATGGAGCTACCTCGACGAGGAACTCTGCAACCTGCATTGCCATGCCGTTAACGAATCAACGTAATATCATCATCATCCCTGTCGCGAGCCAGGCCTTTTAGGAGTCAACGTCTTTTACGTCCCTGGTCCGTTCGTTAAGCCTTACACACGCTGGCAGTTCTCAATATTCACGCATATCTCAGCTTCACTTCCTTGTACCTTTCCCTTGGACGACATACCTACCGTCCGACCGAAAGCAATTTCTTGTGCCGCCGCCTCGTCTTCATCGCCCGGTCGTCATCCTTGCTCCCCAGCACAGCATGTCAGTGCGCGTTGACGGGATCGTTTCCAGAGTATACCGTACGGTGCGCGGTATTTGAACACAGGCCGTGACGGCCGCCTTGAGACATGGATCCAATGGAAGGAGGAGGCAATCCAAGCGCAAGTGGGAGCCGTCCGGTCCTTCCTGCGACATCGCCCGCTCCCTCCCCAACGGCCGGAGGAAACCGTCCTGCCTCTGCTTCCGCTTCTCAGCCCACGCCCTCCACCTCTTCCTCCGGCCCGCCCACCGGTCCGCCCTCGGGGGGTCCGCCCACCAGCCAAACCGTCTCGAAACGCAAGAGAGGACTGGGACTTGTCACTCCAACGGCTTGCACCGAGTGCCGCAAAAAGCGCGCGAAGGTGTGTTAGTTGGCTGGGAACTCTTTTGAGTCTTGGTCTCCTTTCCCTTCCACTACCTGGGATGTCCCTAAATGACCATTGGCTAATCCCCCCGATTGTTTTATAGTGCGACGGCGAGAAGCCTTGTGCTCGATGTAAATATCAGAACACCGAATGTGTTTACGAAGTCCCTGTCCGTCAGTCCAAGGACACATTGAGAAACGAGATCGAACAGCTGAGGCGCGAGCAACGGAACAACGAGCATGTGATAAACGCCCTCAGGCGTACGGATAAATGGGACGGGGTTTTACAGCGCTTGCGCAACGGCCAGAGCATTGATATGATATCCTCGTGGCTGGAGGGGACGCTTCCCTCGGGCGGTGGCACACTTCCTTCCATCGATCGATTAGTCGGGTCAGCTCCCGGTGCCTTTAATTTCTCGGGCGACCCAGCTGGGTCTTATGGCGGCGCTATTCCAGGTTTGGCTCCCATCAGCCGATTTCCAGGTCAAGGGCTGCCAGGCCAGCACCCTACTACGGGTCCGCATCAGCTGGCTGAGTTTCAACCAAGCCAGTACCAGCTGGTTCAAGGCCATCCAGGTCAATTTCCGCGGGCTATCAGGCATGATCCCGAGCCTCATAGTCTCTGGAATGGCCAGTTCTCCTCCCATTCTCAGACGGTGCGTGGCAACTCGCAGGCAAAGGCCATGAGCTGGACTTCAGAAAATGGGCAGCAATCGCAGTCAAGAGCGGAATCATGGGCGGAAGCTCGGGCTGGCGTCAACTCAGAAAACCAGAGATTCCGCGGTCTTGACCAAGTACTTGCTACCGAGGCACTGCATTCGCGGGCACCGCCTACTACCTGGACGACCATCACTTCGGATGACGGTCTTGTTCAACATCTGCTGGCGCTGTACTTTTGCTGGGAGTACCCCACATTTGCGTCTCTCAGCAAAGAACACTTCCTCAAGGACTTTATGGACGGGCGGCCTCGCTTTTGCTCGTCCCTATTAGTGAATGCGCTTCTGGCGTTGGGTTGCCGGTTTTCCAGCCAGCCTAGTACTCGCGCGAACCCGAACGACCCGTATTCGTCGGGTGATCACTTCTTCAAGGAATGCCAGCGACTATTTTATCAAGAAGAAAACCATCACACGCTAACTACCATTCAAGCCTTGGGTATAATGTCCATCAGAGAGGCAAGTTGTGGTCGTGATTCTGAGAGTTGGTACTACGCCGGACAGAGTATCCGACTGGCGATAGAGATGGGACTGCATCGGATTCAAGATGACGGCAAGGATAGTGACGAAAGTGCGGTTCAAGCAGCCACATTCTGGGGTGCATTTGCGCTCGACCAGTGAGTCCAGTACATTCCGCCGAATTGCCACGCGGCGTTTGTCTAATGGTGAAATGTGATAGTGCTTGGTCGTTGGCCACCGGCTCGCTCCCCCAGTGCTCGTGCTTCCCGCAGCTGCCTCCGAAGCCCGCTATCATCGATGACATTGAGGCCTCGCTCTGGATTCCCTACACAGACGATGGTAAGAATTTATCATTTTTGGAGGTCGTGCTTGGAGGTAAGCTGATGAGCGGTACAGGCGCTCCTCTGCACCAATCGTGCGAACAACCGTCTAATGTTCGATCGGTGTACAAATGCTTCTGTGAATTAAGCGAGCTAGTTCACCAATCATTATTCGTCCTTCACTCCCCTGGCCGGCCGCTTACGAGCAGAGATCTGCTCAAGATATATACACAGTATTTGAACTGGTATGATAGGATACCAGAGGTGTTGCGACTTGGCCATAACTTCACTCCCGCTGTGTTGTTCGCGCAGTAAGTTTATAGATCTCTGGTCCGTTGCAAGATTTGAGAGGCGTTTCTAACACTGGATATAGCATGTATTATCACTTTGCCATTCTTCTCCTGTTCCGGCCGTTGATCAAACTTCGCATTGTTGGATCAAGCATTTCTCCGCGTGATGTGTGTATACAGGCAGCCGATGCCATATTGGGGCTTGTGCGCTCGTACTCGCAATTGTACACGTTAAGACGGACGCCATCATTTGTCCCTTACTTTGTGCTCACGTCCTCCATCATGCACCTGGCGATTGGGGCCACGTCCTCATCAACGTCCGACCCCGCTGGAGGCATAGGTCAAGCGGAACCCAATGACCATAGCCATCCGAGGTTTGATCCTCGCGTTGGCGAAGCCATAAGTCGAGGAATTGCCGATCTTACGGAGATGGCACCATGTCACCACTTCGCCGAACAAGCGCTCAACATACTGAAGTACCTGGCCAAGAAGTGGAATATTGATGTGGACATCAAGACGATAGGCGGAGAGGACGGGCAGCAACGTGTCAGGGTCGACCGCTATCAAACCACTCGACCGGTTACAAACAGCCTCAATTTCTTCGTTCCCGAAGTTACCGAGGAAGACTTCAACTGCAAATGGGGAGAGGGGGTAGAATCAGGACACGGTTCAGCGACCAGAGCGGAAATTCAGCCTGGAAATGTTAAGCATACGGCCAGCGCTACGGAAAATCCCCTGTTCTGGCCGTTTCCGATGCAAGGACGTCCGATGCTGGCAACGGGCCCCGAACTGTTGAAGGCTGGTTTTGAGCTTATCTAGCGTGATACAGATCGCCCACAGGCTGTGGATAAGCCCATAAGACTGTTGGCCGAGTCAATTGCCGGCAGTGATGTGGGCAATATTGCCGAAGGGTAGTCAGCGGCTGAGGAAAGGATGCCTTCAAAATCCGGCCAGTCGAGCAGAGCACTTGGCCAACCACCCAAGGGCGCACATCAAAGCATTCCGAGGCAAGATTCTGTTTCAGGTATTTCGTTCATACTGCAGCCTGTCACGGATCTTATATAGGCCACTTTTTGGGATGCACCGAGGAGCTCAATAGGAAAGGGAGCAAGGGCGAGAAGAAGTGAGGCTCAGCGTTTGAGCGGCGAAGTCGGAAAGATGTGATGTATCACGACTGCGAAGGAAGCAACGATTTCTAGGGTGGTTGGAGCATGGCATTTGCATTAAAGAGTAGAAGCTACCGATGAGTGGTAGTTATGTTGTGCAATTGCATAAAGGGGCAGGAAAAGCAACAAACGCGGATGGAATTCATCGACTGTACAAATTTGCGCCATGTAAAGGGACGGGAGTTTGAGGTTAGGTCACGACATTATGGCTCTTGAGGCGTGCTATAAAGTCTGGGAGTGTGTTTTGTGTTACTGGGTTACAATTCGATACCCCTATGTCGTCTGAGGCATACGAACAATCTCTTTTCTCAGGAAAAAAAATAGAAGGAAAAATAAAATAAAAATAAGAATGTAGTAGATCATCATGGCTGGAAAGGGACTTGGAGACGAAGAATAAGTTTTAACCGCTGTGCATGTGCGATGCGGTGATCAGGGTTGCATGCACTATATTAATGTGCAAGGCAGCGCGTTTACCGCGGCTTCTGGAGGTTTGACAACTTCCATTCTGAGATTCATCAACATGTTGCCCAAATCAAACATATCATTTTTTAATATGTATTCTATCCACTTCGTTCGGCGGCGATGTTGCACATTCTCAACCCCAGGGACCGACGAGACGGTGACAGCCAAGGTCGCATCAGAGAAAGGAAACAAACAATCAGCCAACAGGATCTCGGAACCTCTCAGGGGCGTTGTTCTGGCTTGTTCATTGGTCGCCCACCGGGAGCCACCCACAGTAACCCATGCTGCAGGCGAGCGAGGCGAGGAAGGGGTCATCGGCTTTTCTTGGGTGCCTTTGGGTGTTTCGAAACAGCTGACGCCTTGTTTCGGATGCTACCTTGCTAACCAATCACAGCGCATAGAGGCGCTTCTCCGTCCCCAGGGTTGGAACCCTTGCCGAACTTGTCCCCCATGTTCTGCAATCCAATCTTCAACCCTTTCATTCCCGTCCGTCTGGATCGATTTTGCCTCTCTTCGGCTTTTGACGGACCAGTCAAGATGCGACGCCTCTCGACGCCTTGTTAACTTGATACATGCACGGGCATCAGAATGATCTGTATACTTTATAAGGACGGCAGGTCCTCTGTTCATCACCTCGAAATCCGCAGCAAGGCTCTAACTCGACGTGGTGAGACTGACGATAATCGTCAGCTGTTCGACCCGTTTTCCCGTTTTCACAATCTTGAACGAGTGCAGCATTCAGTTCCCGTCCGTCATCTTCTTAATTGCTGACCGCCGACGACGTGGCACATTCGAGGTCTCATTCTCATACAAGCATATGTACATACTCCATCTATCTTTGGCCGGACTCTCACCCGAGTCGAGCGAGTCATATCATCCAGTGGACGTGAGGTTTATGAGATGGACCATGGAGAAGAACCCGAAATACGTGAATGGGGCGCGCCGCCGTCTCACTTCTTTCCGTCCAGGTCAAGCCTTTAATTCGCTGGACGGTCTCGTGGAGATTGCACCCTCTTTTGCTCCCAAGTCTCTTCGTTTTCGCTACCATCCCTGCCTGGTACACTATCTTCGCCGCAGCGTTCCATTGCTTTCGCGTCCCTCTTATTACTACTCGTGCTACCAACAAGGGGGTATAACCTTTTGTTTTATCCCCTCCCATCCCCTTCCCTTCCCGCGCCGCTCGGACGAAGCGCCTGCGCTTGTCTGCCGAACCTTCTTCCTCTAATCTTGTCTCCTACGCATGTACATATGTATGGTGAAGGTACCAGTTATCACGTTCATGATCGGCAGTTCTGTTTTCACCCCCATCAAACACAGCAAAACGCCATTTCTCACAGTGACCCATTCTGCTCGTTTTCATTGAAACGGCGTTTTCTGGCAGGCCCAGCAGTTCAACCATTCAAAGGCAACGGATCTTGATCCCCGTGCATCAACCAACAGTCTAGCTGCGGCCCGACTACATCTTGACACCCTGACTAAATCCGGAATATCGCGCGACGAGCTTTTATCCGCTTTCTTGAGGGTTATAATAAGGGGGTGTGTTGACTCGGCCTGCCCCTAAAACCAGCCAAACAGCCATCGACTAACATGAATCAGGAGTTCCTTCGACACTGGTGATACACAGCACATCCTTTTCTTTTCTCACCGCAGGAGCAGCACGCTTCGACAATAAACGACATGAGCCGTCACAACTCCGTATCGACAACCAGTTCGGGGTCATCAGGAAGGGCAAGCATCTCATCAGAGGCAACCTCAACGAGTTCAGTCTCATCCCAGAACACTTACGACAAAAGTACTTCGCCTTCAGTCAAAACGGCACTGTCAGTCCTTGGAGGATTCAGGATCAACAACCAAGGTGCCGCTAAGCCCCAAGGCCCTTACTGGTGCATACCCTGCAATGTCAGTTTCCAGCGCAAGGTCGACTGGATGAGGCACGAGGACGAAGTCCACGACCGACATAAGCGTTACCCCTGCCCGGACTGTAACATCATCTTCTGGGACGCCAGCACCTTCAACCAACATCACAAGAACGCACACGGGTGCAGGACCTGCCCTCACGCTGAGCAAATGGTCCGGTCTACGCAACGGAGGACGGCGTGGGCCTGTGGATTCTGCGGGGCGTTCATGGGCGCCAGTCATCGATTTGTCGACCATGTAGCGAAGCACTACGAAGATAATCACAACAAAGCACACTGGAATCATAGTCTGGTAATCTACGGCCTGCTTCATCAGCCGGTGGTCCACCAAGCATGGAAGGAGTTGTTTGCGCAGTTGTATGGACACATGGCACGCGATGAACAGCCCATCTTGGGGTGGGATGCGCAAACGACGGGACACGCTCGGGGGTTCTTGGAGGGGCAGGCTCCGGGGAAGTTGCAGGATTTGCTGGAATTCTTCAAGGGTGGACGAGAGGAGGCGAGACGGCTTGCGAGGTTAAGTCATGATCAGGCTATCATTCGGTCACGTCAGGGAGTGGCTATTACGGCGATCCGGGTACCTGTTCCTAAGCGATCAACGGTATCAACGGAATCACTCAGGCACAAGTCGATATTGCAGCAGCAGCAGCAGCAGCAGCAGTTCGATAGACGCAACAGCGCCACTAGCGGCAACACCGGATTCCCTCAACCCCGACACCACCAACAACAGCAGCAACACCAAGTACAACCACAACAGGAACCCACATACCAAAAACAACGATCATTCTCTCTCCCCTTTACCACCACCACCACCACCACCACCATCACCAGCTTAGCCCAATTCCCCAACCCACCAACAAACAAATACTCCCACCTCCATTCCCACAGCCTTAAATTCTCCCTACCTGTGGGAACCATCTACGAAACCCCCGACGCAGCGTCGACAACAACGACAGTCGACTTTTTCAAGAACACACTGGCCGCCACCGCGACTATGACGGCTACGTCTAATAGGCAACACCAACTAGATCTTCAAGATCAACAACAACAGCAGCAGCAGCAGCAGCAGCAACAACAACAACAACAAAATCGATTTACGATACCTCCTCTTAATCTTTCCAAGGATGGTTTCTTTGATAACATGGATGTTAAGATTTAGAGTTGGAGCAGTATTACTAGTATGGTGGTGATAGTGAATGATCGGGCATATGGGTTTCCGGTGCCGAGGGTGTTGACAGGGTCGGGGAGTGGAGATGCTGAGGGATGGTGAGCGTGGATGATGGAAACAAAAGTGGTGCGGAATGACGACGAGATCTTAAACAGTCAGGTCATGGGGCAAAATTGGGGAAAAGTGGCAGAGAAAAGGAGAAAGTTTCCCGTATGATGTGTTGTGATGAGATGAGAAGCAGTCTGGAGAAAGCTACGAAAGCCAAGAGAAGTCAGTTCGGGATACTATATTGGATAATACCACTCTTTGAAGATTTATGAAGAAAACCGAACTACTTCTAGCTTGATGATGAATGTCGTAAATTGTCTGCGTTCGTAGTACTGAATTTCCATTGAGTCTGGGAAGTGTCAATTATCACAAATGTCCTGTCTCGTTCCATTCGTGCCTTCCATTTCCTCAACCCTGTACTAGACACGCAATCTCTCACCGCATGGAGAATTCCATAGATGCGGGTGGGTGAACGGGTGATCACCAACCTGAGACTGAAACGAAGCCGCGTCAGCCCCTTTTCAGGTGACTCGATGGAACCAAACTAAAAGTCCGATAATGGAAATCGATACTCACCCCCTCAGTCTGATGGGTACCTCCAGTCCTCGGACAAGAGACGGGTGTGTGCCAACAGTTCGAAATTGGAGTATGGGCGTTGAGAGATCTCAAGGGAACGTCCATCATACGTTCGAGTGATTATCAAGGCAAGTGCGAACGTCTTGGAAGTTCGAGGATTGGGTGCCTTAGGTAACTGCTGGCTGAACCTTCCTCCTCTCCGGTAAGTACCTCTACGGCTACTACTCCACCAACAAGCAAGTGGTCCCGCTCCTGGATGGAATCATAGAAACCGGCACGTGTCAAGGTATCGTCCCGATGTGAGCGGTGCCGGTTCTGTTGGAGCCCAGACGAAACTTCACCTTCGTTTCACGTGGTGCAACTCTACGTTAGTAGTCGCCGCTGCCTTTCCGCTTTCTGCCTCCTCCCGTCCACGTTTCGCTCATGTGGCCGATATGGAGTTCGTCGGGCCCAATCCATATCTTGCCATAAATCCTGGGCGTGGGGGGCGATCGATCGAACTATCGGTTGTTCACCTACCTACTCCTCGACGCTTGTAACAACAGAAGGCAGCCGTCATCGATGCAGTGACTAATATCTCAGGCTGACCTTGACCAGGTGGGGGTGGGAATTGGGAGTCTTGGGACTGCTTCGCTGGCGTGGCTTCGGTCCCGGGATGGGAGGGTTGGTACCGTATCCTCGTGAGGGGATGGCTTCAGGTGTTGATCTTAGCCTGGTCTTAAGAGGCTGGTAACGAAACTCTGGGTTGCGGTTGCTCTTGCGATGGGAAGTAGGGCGAAACAAAAAGGAGTTCTTGACATCTGAGCTGATATAAAAAGGTCTCACGTCTTTCTCAGGATCACAACCTGAAGTTACCAGAGGTAGCTGACTGGAGCCTCGTCCTGGCAGTCGTTTTTTCAAAACCTTCCAAGTGAAACAATCATCACAAATTATTTGAAGAGAAACAGAATCCAAGTAGGAAACTCAACAATCTGTCTGTCCCCAATAGCCATACATGAACTGCTGTCCACTGATATTATCCAAGCAAGGCCTTCAGCTCTCCGCATCTCTGATATACAAGCAGTCTCTTCGTTGGCCTCGCCATAATGTCTCCAACACACGCCATCCACTCCATGGGTAGCAAAAAGCTCCCAGGTCAACGGAGCGCCAATCATCGAAGCGAAACCGCCCCAAGCATCACCACCTACTCTGATGCCAGCCGAGAGAAGCACCAGCACCAGCATCCGCAAACCCAACCCAAGCCACTACAAGAGCAACAGCAACAGCTACAGGACTATCTTGTTGGAAACAGGAGTTGCAAGCCGACAACGACCCCCATCGAGTGTTGGCTGAAGGAAGATATCCGAGAGCAGCCTTGGACTGATCTCCGTGTTCCAGGAAGAAATTTACCACAGTCAGGGGCATGGATTGAGGAGTTATCACTAGAGGTAGTAGAGCTGGATGATCTGACACTGAACCTAGATCTGGAGGAGCAATTACCGCTTTCAACTTTAACAGTGTCGATATTGGGAAGCGAGTCAACTCCCTGCGGCTGAGGCGTCACCATTGTTACCCTCCTCATCATCTAATACGGGGTCTTATTCTTCGTCGTCAATCACAGCGAGAGGTTGTGACGAGGCGGATCTCCGTTCATGTTGCTAGTGGAGGATCTCTGATGGATTCAAACGGCCATCTTAGGTATCGTCTGTCGAACCACTTTGAATGCATTCAATGCTGGGCGTCCTGAGCATGGCAGCGTTTCTTTGAAAGCTTTAGCAAAGGAGTCGAAAAGGGAGATTTGCTTTGAAGAAGAAGAGACGTCCATTTCGGCTACTTCTGAGCGGTAGTGAGGTTGTTGCAGCGGTCATAATGGTTGGATGGCTCATGCTTTGAGATTCCCGCCCATATTTCCACTCTTTTTGCAATACAGCGAGCGACAGAGCCTGCTTTCTTCTTTTTTCCCTGTACTCCGAATCCCGATCTAACACCATTTACAGCCTACGCAGCCCGCGTCTACAATTCGAACTTTCAGGTAGTTAACTACCAATGGCGTTCGTTCTCCTCTCACAATGATCGTAATTCACCGTGCTGTTGTGGTACCAAAGACAGAGCGCACAAAGATCGTGTACATAGAGGTATCCGCAGGTTCGCTACTACTACTTCACTACCAAAAACTGGGTAGTTTCAGGGTCTCAACATGATTGAACCCAAAAATGGCTTCGGACGGATTGACAATGTGACTTGGCACCCAGAAGCTCGAGCGTTTGCACAAAATCCGAGCTGGAAAATGGAATGCGGAATGGAATAGGAAGTGATCAGGAAATATCTCAAGTATATGTGGTTTGACCAGACATATGGTAAAGACTCTGTTTGAGTGATGCGCGTAAGTTGGCTCACCCTTGGTCAGTCACTCGGTAAAGCGTCGAGGAAGAATAAGTAGGTACACAAAGCGTGTCCCAAACCCTGTCGGTTCTCACTCACGACTTTGATCAAGGTCTGAAGCACCTAGCTTCTGTTATCAGTCGTGGGTTTGTCCACGCTCGTTCTTTGGGTTGGGTTGTCGGTGGGCTCCTTAGCCTCGGGAGCACCCAGACCTGATGACAGTAAACTATACGGCTATGCAATCGCCACTAACAGGACTCGGACATGAACATGTGATTCGTTGGTACTGAAAGCTCCCGCGCACGTCAATCATCGGCCGAGGAACTGTGGAAAATGCTCTAGCAACGCGCCTCAGCCATGAATTTCCTGAAGCCAAGATGCTCATCATTGATGCGGAAGGGAAAGGAGGGAAAAAGAGGTGGTGAGGGTTCCGACAAGGGAGAGAGAGGATGGTGACGACGAGGAGGAGGAGAGGGGGAAGGACGGGAGTGTGAAGAATCAGCGAGTGTTCGTTGAGTTTGAAACGGTGATTTGGAAGAGCGAGTGGGGCAAAGATATACGGGGGCTGTGGTTTAATTGATGATGTGCTCCGCCCTTTTCGAAATAACAATCAAGGAGGGGTGCTTGTGAAGGACGAGGAGTAAGAAAGGACTTTTTGGTCGGAAAGAAAGAAAGCTGGTGGTCTGCGCAAGGGTCAGCCTATCTACTGCATACATACATACTGCTGTGGTATCCACCAAATTGACGTGGACCGTATAGAAAAACGTTGCGTGTTCAGCCATCAACTATCGTTAACAGCTGCATGGCGCAGCGGAAGCGCGCCGGGCTCATAACCCGGAGGTCACTCGATCGAAACGAGTTGCAGCTACATGACAATTCTTTTTATCTATTTTGGCTTCTACACGAGCAGCTTCTTCTCCTCGACATCTCTTTACTAACCCTTTTTTCCACTCTTATAATTTACTCTTTTTTTCTTCACGGATTTTTTTTTTTTTTTTTTTTTTTTTTTCCAACAGCGCAAGATCTTGAACCCTTACCCAGTCACAGTCCTAACCGCATTCGACATTGGACGAGTACCCCGACGCCCTGCTTCATGTCGGCGCGCTACGCGGCTGCAGACATGGATGGCACTGCAATGCAGATTAGCGTGGATAAGGGACCTCTTGGTCGCTCCTTGGCGAGTAACATCATGATGAGGGGCAGCTTTCAGGTGATGCTGTTTGGACACCACTCTTTCTTGTCTTGCATTTTTGTAAACCCGTACTCGGGAAGCGCCCAGGTCTTCCATTCTTTGAAATTTGTTTCTCCGTGCAATGGTCACACCATACGAGTAATATCATCTTTGAAAGGTGCGGTGTCGAGTTTGAGGTTCTTCCGTCCGTCATCGAGCTCGTTGAACACAGACCCCAAAGTACATCGCCGGCATGATGTGTGTGTGGATGGGCGGCCAGTGCATCATCGCCATCAGCAAATCGAGAAGAAATGGGCAACACGACAAGCAGGAATCCCGCACCAGCGGAGTGCCATTGGAGTGGGGGAACAGCTCGCTACGGCTGTGGTTGGTTGGCGCCTGGGTTTCACACTGCAGTAGATCAAGACATGGTGTGCTGCTCCAAGGGTTCGGTTCCCGCTTGTGATTGTGAATGTGTGGTGGTACTTCAGAGATAAAGAAAGAGGCAAGCAGCCAACAAGTTCACGAGACCGTTGAAAAGACGAGTATCTTCCGTTCCCCCGTATCTCTATCATTTTCTCTTCTTTCTTCTGCCCACATGATGCATCGCAGAAAGCTGCTGTGGAGAGAGCTCTAAACAGAGCTATCAGGCCGAGAGAACAAAGAACGAAAACCGAAGAAATCGGTAGTGTTGTGTGACGCCGGAAGAATTGGAGTTTCAAGCACTTGTGGTGTCTCGGGCATCGACTCGAACGGAAGCACACCTCTTTAGGTTCACGACGGGGTTACACAAAACGCGCGACGTCTTATCTCGACCTCCAACACGGCCTGTAAACATCAGGGCAAGCCAAAGACAAGAAAGAACAAGGTCGACATATCCAAATCAAGGCCGGAAAGCTGGGACGAAACAGACGGGATGGATGTTCCAACAACAGGCCCCGCCCGTGCAGATACAAACCCTGACCCACCGGACGCTGCCATCATCCCAACTTCAAAACAACAGGACAACCCTCGTCATGAAGAGACAGCAACAGAGACCGCCGCCGAGTCGAGCCTGTTTTCCAAGGCCATTCTCTGGTCGCAATCACAGTGGCAGTCACAACTGACGACGACGCGCGGCAGGTCCGGCAGTAGACCACGACGGCCGCCATCCTCCTCCGGTTCCGTATCTCCGCACCGAATAACACCAAGCGCAACATCACCACCGCCGCCTCTCGCTATCCATACCGGCGATCCCAGCAACACCCACGACGGCAACGTGAATTACTATCATCATCCACTTCCAACCAGATTCGACGGTCGCGGCCATTACAGCCACCGTCGCCTACCTTCGTGTTTTCATGACACCACTTTCGGTCTTACTCAGCCAGACATCAACACTACCATGTCGCTTCTCATAGTAGTCGCCAAGGCTGCCCAGTTCACCGATGCTTTTTTGACGGCGCTGTTGGTCCCTCTTATTCCCACCATCCTGGAAACCAGAGCGGGAGTACACCACAAGCATGGTATGTCATGTTCAAGCTACTGCGCCTTTTCATAGACAACAGTGTTGAACTAACATCTTTTTGCTTTCCAGTGCAGTTTTGGACATCGATCCTTATCTCAACATATGGTGGCACATTCGCAGCGGTATCTTGTAAGTCACCAAACCTCCATCCGGCGACACACACGCAAGCTTCGTCCATGTTGTTACTGACACTTTTGACTGCTGTTCAGCATCCGTCCCCTACCTTACCCGCCAAGGCCCTCTTCTTTGGGTCCTCCTGTTCGGTGGGCTTGCTCTAGCGGCGGGCTCCTTTGTTCTGCTTCAATTCTACCGCAATCTATTCTTCCTCGTCCTCTCACGCGCCCTACACGGTATCGCAGGTGTGGCCATCGCGAGAGCTAGCTCCAGCTTGGTTGCCGGCGTGGTCTTGACTGCCAGCGAAGACGATGGTGAAGAGGATGGAGGCGACGACGAAACTGCTGCTGTCGATGTGCTGACATGGATGACGCCGGCGTTTATCCAGAATTTCGCCATCTCGGTCGGCCCGGTGTCTGCAGGATTGCTGCATGGTTTCTTTGGTGGGCAGGCGGCTGTCTTTACACTGGCTTATGCCGTTATTGCTTTGACGGTTGTGTTTGGAAGTTTCGTAGCGGTGTTACTGCCGCCGGGAAGATATCCCAGGGCAAGAGGCGATCGACACGAGGCAGCGGGTCTCCTTGCCTCTCGAGAAGATTCGCGAAACTATGGAACTCTCTCCTCCGGCGGGGGGTATTCCTCGAGAGAAGTGTCTCCCTGCCATGTCTCCAGCCGATCGATCAGACGGCCCAGCCTAGCGGCCTCCGAAGTTACTGGTACTCAAGAGGGAGTGCTGACGCCATCCGTATTGCGACTTATTGTGCCCATGGGAGGATACATCGCACTTAGCCTGATCGGATCAGCGCTACAAAGTGTGCTACCGATTTTCGTACAGCGAACATTCGAATGGCCCATGGCTGCCAGCGGCTTCGTCTTCGTCCCCCTTTCGGCTCCGGCAGCTTTGGTCGGCCTCTTAACGACCCCGCTTACGGCACGGTACGCGCAGGCTTCTCGATTGCTAACATCATTTGGTTTCATTGCGGCTGCTCCGGCTTTTACTTGTCTAGGCGGGTTGACCCAGAACAAGATGACCGTTCAGACGGCACTACTGGCTACTCTTGGCTGGATCTCTGTAGCCTTCGGTCTCTGCGGTGAGCCGTTAGTGAAGGAGATTCTCGATGCAGTCGCCGGTGGAGAGGATGTAATTGGAACGGGTGGCCTGTCAACTGGCGCAGCAAAGGCTGAAAGTCTACCCAGTCTCGCCAATGCCTGGGGCAGTTTCGTTGGCCCGCTTCTTGTTGTAGCCGTTATGGGAGTTTCGGGCTGGGGAGGGCTGACTACAACGCTTTCATGGGTGTGCGGGTGCGCAGGATTAACCGCATTATTCTTCTTGGGCGGGCTGCTCACCGAAGCAAATTTTGAGAGCGCCGGAACATCGTCAG